TCCGCTCCGGGTGATATGTGACTAGGGTTGGTAATTTTATTAAGGGTGAGCATTTAATACTAAGTGTAAATTCATCAAAACAACCTCCATAACTGAACTGGAGGATGGGTCGGGCTATATCGCAGTTAGGTAAACCAGTGGGTCTCGTTCAGCCATTTCGTCAGAACAGTGAGAAGACATAAGTTGCGATATGTCCACATTTCGATTGCTCTCATCAGACGCAAACAAAATACAAACGAAATTCATAGACAGATATAACGGGGAAAAATTGGCACATCAATCAAAATGTCAAAATCAAGACCACGGTAACCTAATTAGTTGTCCCAATAGTTTCTGTGCACACAAAACAGCTTGAGAATTCCTAATAAGCAAAGCTTCAATAATTGCCAAAATTATCAGACTATTGTTACGTAATGTATATACCGCAGTTAGGTTTCAATATATGCTAGTCGACAGCCCTCCCCGTGGCTCAGTGGTATAATCTGCGGCCTATTTGGCGTTAGCCTCTAGTGGTCCTGGGTTCAATCCCCAGTAGGGGAGCAAACAATGCGCATCACTGACGAGCCCCAATATGGCGAAAAGCGCGTCTAGTGCTTTCCGAATTGGTAGCTTACGTTTGCCGCTTGGAATCTCATTGCGATGAACCAGCTCGAAAAATGAAGCTGATAATCATGTTGAGACTGAAGATGAACTTGGTACTGCAAACGTTGCTATCCGAGCAACAGAATGCGACATTTACAGCATGAAGGCAGCGGGAAAGACTTGTAATGCTGACGTAAAAGTTTTGCGCGCAGTTGAAGAAATACAAATGCGACCATCAATTTGGCTAGTGGGCGGCAATATTAAGTCCGCCCCAGGAAGCAAATGTAATTGCTACTCCACTGTCACACCTTTCACCTGGAAGTTGCAACTCCGTAAATCTACACAATTGTGAACAGACCTTAAGTATTTCGTTTCACGTTACAACAATCACAGGTTTAATTTTGAAGCGTTGCTTTAATGTAAGCATTCGCATCGTGACAATGTTCGTGTATAAAAGATATCGATACACTTTGCGTGCACACTTTTCTTATGCACATACATTTCGTTGGAGAGAAATCTGTCAAATTAATGAGTAATCTAAAGTCTAGTAGCAAGTCACATACCTTCCAACAGTAACTGTGTCGATTCAAATAGCCAACTAATGAGAAAGTAAGTAAACGTTCGCATTTTATGGATGATAAAAAGGTATTCCGTTGCTGGCGGTTGCTAAGTACTTTGTTGCAGTTCGACATGCAGAAATACAACTTGCTCTCCATATGACACCAGAGTACCCATCCCTACAGGCTATGGACGCCAGTACTCCGTCGATGGTCCGTCGAACGCGACCATGGCGTTCTTGTTCAGGATAACATGTGTTACTCCAAGCAATCCACAATGGATCGACAACAGGTAATCAGCACGTGGGCTTGCTTCGATGGGTGTTCAGACAAATAGACACTTCTATTTTCAGACAGATGCTGAATGCGTATGTTCGTCCCCATGTCAAATACGTAATCCAAGCCTGCACCCATGGCTGAAGTACGAGTTTACTGCACTGGAATAACCTTAACGTCGGGCTTCCAAATACGTCATTAGAATGCGCTACCTTCCTTAGGAGCAGAGGCTGTAGCTTTGGTAGTATTCAGCAGGTGGGATCGTCGACTGGGATGCGACTTAATTATGACGTACAATCCAATTCGCTTTACTGTGACTCAGCAATAACAACAAACTTATAGGCTATTTCTTGAAATTAGCAGTAAAGTACAGCCGCCCGACTTGCCGTGGAACCCTTTTTCTGTTTCTTGCAGGTCAACCATAGCACGCTTTCATCGATTCGGTTGGTTCTGTACCCACGCCAGTCATATTTAAAACTCGGTTAGAAGATGCACTTCTCCACTTAGGTTTTTGTACTTGACGCTACTCTCCATCCTATCCCCGAGAAATACTTTGGACTTATCTTTCGCCTATTGATGCACCGGAAACACTGGTAGTGTAGGCATATTGCATTAAATTAGAGAAGTCCATTCTTTTGACAGCAAAACTGCTAACTGCAATTTGTCATCAACATTTTCGAGAACTTACCAGCGCACTCAACGGGGCTTGTAAAGTAGTGCTACTTAACTCTATACCAACCTTGTGTATTGCTGTTTGCTGAGATACCAAGGTACGTGTATTTTTCTAAATCCCAATCAGTCGCACATGAACTATATACACTACACCTCTGGAAGCTAAGGCTAATAGCAATAGATGGCATTTCCGCCTCGATCATCTCATCTAGAACAAGGTACTAAGAATTTAGCTATGGATCTTCATTCGTAATAAATGAAACATCCATCAACCAAATTCACAGTTCAACTCAAGTCAAAATAGACTTGGTACACCTAAATGGGTGCATTATCAACAGTTACACTATCACTCGGATGCACTAACTGAATGGAACCAGTTAAAAATACACAAAAACTGATTGAAGAATTAAATAGACGAAGGTATGTGTATACCATTAACGGAATAGCACGCGCAAAGCATTTATAACTTTTGTAGGGTCGATAAGAAAGCGTGACAAATAAGGCAGGATTCTGTTACGATATGAAGTGCGCGAGACTAAAATCTTAACTTTTGGGCCCGTGTGACAGACAGATAACGTTTGTGAGAGAGCACTATGTAACGGATGAAAGCGGCCAGTTAGGACCTTAGAAGAGCAACTCATGCATCATCGAAATGTGTAGGGGTAATAAAAGCAACTATGGTGTCTGGATCACACAATCACATCATAGTCCTTTTGTAGTGGTCCAGTGAAGATTACTAGAAACAGTAAAATCAGTGGAGTAGTATACATGCAGTTACAAATTATAAAATTAAGCTTCGCGGTACGGAAAACCTTTTATGCCGGAAAGCATAAACAGATAGCTTTCTGACGTTGTGAAATGTCTCCAAAACGTGTACGACCGAAAAAAGGTTTTGGGAACAATGGACACCGAGATATTTGACAGTGGATGAAAAGGGCATGGTTTTGTCCTCCACAGTTACTAGAGCAGTGGCATTCAAAATTGCTCACAATTTAGCAGGGCGCAGAAAGAAAAGGTTATATCGGTACATTTCAATGCATTAAGCTTAAAGGACATGGTTGATGGCCAATTTCCAACTTCGCCTAAAGCACATTGAAACATTGACATCTCAACGGATGGAGCACGGTACCCCAAAACATCGTCAGCATATTTACATCCAATAAATGTTGATGGCATGGAAGACTTTCAACATATAACGGGTGTAAATAGGTGTAAGGATAGTGCCCTGCAATTGCACGGTGTCCACTGGTGTTTCTGACTTCATCTTCAATGACAAGGCGAAGCCAGCTTTCATGTTACAGAATGATACCTCTGTCTATATATGCCTTTCGTTGTATAAGCTGTGAGGTCAATCATTTTTCCAAGCATTAGGCGCACATTGCTGGGCATCGTCTGAGACCAAATTGCTAACCGGTGCGAGGTTTTCCAATGTTACCAGAATGTTTTCTCACAATCTGCCTGAAAGGGCGCTACCCATTCCTCTGCATTGCAGTAAAGTGTAAGTCAGTTGATAGTAAGCAGCGCTATATTACGATAGATACCGTAAAATGGACGATTTTCTAACAGGCAACAGCAAAGGTCAATTTGAGGACCCACCGGATTGTCAAATGTACCGCAAGTCCAATTATGGAGGATCGTTATTATCCTGTTATGACACTTTATACGTAACAAACTCGCATCATTCAGCAAGCGTTCACTGACGCGAGGCGACAACACAGGCTTGTTGCATATTGCAAGTGTTTGCGAGGATGCGGGCTATACGCTAGATGAAGACAGTTGAACAGAATAAGGTGATAGTGGATATTCTGCCACTAGCTGGTAGCCACTCGGTTGAATAGCGCTGCTAAAGTTTGCAGACGCAGTTGACACAACCAGTTGGTTATGTTCTCGTACCCTTCTAGTGGATTGGGCAAACTAGGTAACCATGTCCCCAGATCGAGGAGTTGTGGTTTATTGTTGCGTGAAGAACAACTTGTGCATATGAAAAGTAGGAAAAAAGACTGCTTGCATTCGGATACCTGACGATCCTATTTTTCAAATGGACCCAACATTCCCATTTGCGGGGTATGTGACCTAATACCCTACACTGTGATTCACAAACTCACTACCGATGTGAAAGTAGGTGGAAGCACTCCAACAATCCACCGGCCTCCATCGTCATAATCGAGGAACCATGGGAACAGAATAAGTCATGCTTGGCAAGCTCCAGACTGTATCCGTAGGTCTAGCAGAGATAGGCAGCGTTTAACCAGTCTGCAATACGCGTTCGTCGACTTAAAGTGCTAAAGCAGAAAAGAATAATTCCCTATATCTAAAAGTTTGCTGTTCCGTTTCTTGCAGTGAACAATTTTTTATACTGCTATAATGGGCGTTTTATCTTTGAAATGGTTCAATGTGTATATAAATACGCGAAAACAATTTGCTGTGTGGAAACAAATAATTGCTCCGTAGCCATGAGTGAGAACTGGCAAAAGCGGATATTTTTGATGAATGAACGACTGTCAACATGAAAGATGTGTGTGCACTTACAGCTGTTTACCAGTTACTAAGCATATATGCTGCGCTCTCACAACCATCATTTAGAAATTGAAGCCGAAAGTGTGGATATTCATCACTTATATACCAAGAGACAAATTGTTCTTTAAAACACAAGTATAGTAATGGCGGTAATTCAAAGAACAATTAGTGTAACAGGCTGTTGTCCACATTCGAATTGTCAGTTAAATGTGTTTTACTACCAGAAATTTTATCTAAAGATCTTGCTTATGTCCATTTGAAATACAAACTGATGGAACACTAGCGCAGAGATATACAGGTGTCGAGAGAATCGTTGATTAGTGCGAAACACACATGCGAAATATACTCAATTAGATGAATAATCAGTCACACATTCTTGGAAACCATATAACATATCGGAACAATACAGAGCGGGCAGATGATTACTTGAAAAGAAAGCATGCGGCAAAGCATAAGCTGATAGATGGGAAAAGAGTGAACACGAGGTGCGCAGGCCATTCACAAATGATTCCACCGCAATTCAAGTGAACGATAATGTGTTGTGTTGAACGAAGGATGCAGGTCACCAATCGCAGCTTCGTATTTCACTTTCTCGGACAACCACCACTCCAGGCGGGTATAGCCTTCTGGCTCCACTGATGGTACAAATTTGTTGGCAAAAAATTCAGGTCTGTCCATCAACCAGTCCACATCGTGCAGTCCCAGCATGCAGATGGTCCTGACCCATTTGCCACTGTGGCAAGGCATGTTTTGATCAGACCATACTTTGACTCGGATAGGTGGTTTAAATGCACCCGTTTCATGTACGCCCAAGAACGCGCCTGGTGCTGGTATAGATGCGGGATTGTGGTTCAGGGTGGGGAAGTACGTTTCATCTGCGATAATGCCCACCTTCTTGGATTGCTCGAATTCACGCAGTACTCGCAGGATTAGTTTGGCGCGTTCGTCGTTGTGTACAAAGTGCACAAATTCCCGGCGAGCTACGATGTGAGCGATTCCCTTGTACCACGTGAGCTGTGGGTGGGGTGGGATGGAGACACGTGGGTTAAATCATAAGGTATACTCATTGTTGAGGCTGTGGAGAATAAACAAGTGTGTCGATAAGCTTCAGTTTGAACGCTGAAACATGGAGTTTTTATGACATTAAGATTGAACGGTAATGCCTGTAATTTTCAAGGTATAACTTGTTTTATTTACACGAAATGTATGATTCGAGTACTGAAACATAGTCGATCCGCTGTGCAGTGGAGGACATGCAGAGCTTCAGCGTAGACGATTCCACTTACCCGTTTGCACAGTAGGTCATTAGTAGAAGCACGAAATATCGTGGCAGCAACTTGCTAAGTTGTGTGGGCAAGGTGTTCGCCCGAATACTCCTCAACCGCCTCGTCAGTCTGGTTGTCAAACCGGACGTGGCGGAAGAGCAACATGGATTCCGTTCGGGTTGCAACACCGTCGATATGGTGTTTGCGGCTCATCAGTGGCAGAAATGCAGAGAATAACACCAGCCGTTGTACTCGCGATTTGTTGAGTTCACTAAGGCACTTTATACGGTGAACCGCGAGGCATTGTGGCTGGCGTTGGGTAAGTTTCGTTGTCCAAGTAATTTTCTAAGTCTAATTGGATGTCTGCACAGTTGTATGCGGGTGAGTGTGCAGCACTGTGGACCTACTTCAGATGACTTTACAGCTGTCGCTGGTGTGAAGCAAGGCTGTGTCTTAGCTCCTGCCCTGTTTAATATTTGTCTTCATGCCATGATGCCGCGGGCAGTTGTTCTGCTTGTGCATACGGTGTCCGTGTGGAACACCGTATTGATGGTGGGTTGCTGGTCCTCCGTCGTTTCGGGGCGAGAACACTACTTCTTGAGACAAGTATCCGTACGTTGCTGTTTGCTGACGAATGTACGTTGTTTGCACACAGCGCGGATGAGTTGCAGCATATGATTAGTGCCCTGGCTTCGACAACGACCAACTCCGGGCTCACCATCAACACGAACAAGACTGTGTATTCCAACCTTCATCAAGAATGGAGTCCATGGCCTGCCCGAAATCCCGATTGCCGCGGAGGCGTTGGAAACCACTTCGTGTTTTTGCCACCTTGATAACGTAATGACAACTGACCCTCAGACGAGGTGCGAGCTGCGAAGCCGCTATCGAAGCCGACTGCTGCATTTGGAAAGCTGGAATATCGTTTGGGGAATAGCCACCAGTTCGCTGTCGGGACGAAACTGCTAGCATACAAATTTATGGTGCTGTCCGTTCTTCTATACGACAGTGAAATCTGGATGACTTATTAGAAAGACGTCCGTTATCTGGAGCGCGTTCATCAACAGTGCCTGCATGGTATGATGCGCACCGTCTGGAGTGACCGAGTTGCAGACACGGAGGTGCTCTGACACATTTGCATGTATGCAGTGGACTGCATACTACTGCTGCGGCACCTGAGGTGGCTCGGGAATATTCGTCGCATGAATTCGACCCGGATACTGAAACAGCTGATTATGACCAACTGCATGCAGGGAAGCACAACGGTGCAAATCAAGGTCAAGCTACCAGGACGTGATTAATTTGAGTTGGTCCCGAACTATTGTTGAGTTCAGATGTTGCAAAGCAATGATATCAGATCGACACCAATGTCGACGGCAAATAAAGAGTGCGGTTTTCCAGCTACAAGATTCATCACTATCTCATGAGGAAAAGCGACTTCCGTGGAGCAAACGACAGGCGTCGATGATAGATAACCGGTCGAGGTTGAGCACATGTTGCAGCACGATATACGGTCGTGATTGCTTCAGTCAAACGGGCCTATTAAGCCACCCGCGGCGTCACGTTGGGTTGACATTCAAGAGGATGCGAGGAATCCAACTATGTAGTATACATCAGCGCAACGTTTGATAATTTCTCTGCTTCCGATTCAATTTACTAACCCAGGTCAATGTGGCAGTTGATGGTACGTCATCGTTGCATTTGGTCTATACGCGTGCCTGCGTGTTGACTGTTGTTGGATATCCCCGGAGTGGTTGCAACTGCTGTGAATGTTGGCAATGCGCCTAACCGTCTAGTACCCACCACCACATATATACTGGTTTCAGTAGACAGCCGTTGCTTGAGGGGACAGGGTGCACGGTCCCCGTGGTCGTGCTAGGTTCAAAGCGTGGTTCCATGTCTCCAGTGTGGAACGAGCCACGGCGCAGCCACCGCCTTGTGTACGTCTTGTAGGCATGGTCCTCCAACTAGACATGGATGCTTCTGCTCCGCTTGTTGAAAGAGTGTGGGCAAGCTTCGTTGATGAAAGGTGGCTCCCACCTACATGCTTTCCGGTCTTATTCCTTTGGGTTTACACTGGGGATGCGGTGTGTGGATGGAGCTGTTGGTGGTGCATCGCAAGCCACCCATGGTACCACTGCAGACGTAGGCCTACTGTGGCTGTTCTATGAAGGTCGCAGCGACAGCCAACTACGGAATCGGATATAACCAGCCATTGGCAGAAACAAACTAACCTGATAAGTAACGCGCGTCACCCGCTCAGCGCACTTCAGTCCTGGAACGTTCTTGAACTTGTTTGGTATCGTCAGGCTGAGATAAATGAGCTGGGATTCGGAATCACGATCTCAGGGATACCGGCTGCATCCTTTAGATAGATGCCATCGATTTGCGTCTAACAAAGTGTAACACAATGGTTAATGGATGATTAGAGGGATTAATTTGAAATATGAGGTGATGCGGTTCTTTTGACTGCGTTGCAGACCTGAATGCGATTGCCTGTTGCAATGTATCCACAGGCGTGCAGCAAAAGATGCTATTCAATGAAACAAAGTGATGTTTGGATGCGAGGAGCTCGGCTACAATAGACGAGTTGGATTCGGCACTACTTACCGTAAGCTTTCAGTTCTCATAATCCTTATTAACGGGCAAATTAACCATCGAATTAAGGGCACTTCGTTCTTACGGGTGGTAGACATTTGTAAGTGGTGGAAAACATCCATATATGCATTTGTCCACTTGAACTGCTTGCAAATAAGTTGCATCATAAGCACTATTCCCGCGGTTTTTATTTTGCGAACGACATTCCGTCAAGTAAAGAGAGTACCACATAAGGAACTCCGCCAATAGTCTAAGGTAGCCTGTTTGAAAATCACCACCATAGAACCTGCAGGTCAATGGCAGTGGAGTAGCACCAGCGTTGCTAACTGTATCGCCAGTCTTTGCACCCTTGTCGTCCCAGGTGCTGGAATTCGAATCGTTTGTTTGACGTTCAATTTCCGTTCAGTATTCATTGTGCTCCATCTGACGAAAGCGCTATCAATCTTCATAGACCCAGAGGTCATCCAATGTGGAAGACGGAGTTCAACGGGCTCGTTCAAACCGCAAGTCAGACTGATTGGATATTACCACAGGATGCGCCGCTTGAGGCCGTTTGGTCATTACGGAAGAGGAAGTTTACTCCTTTGAGTACTCGGTTTGTTCCCCTGAAGTATTCCGAAATCGGACCTGTCAAATCACATTGTTTTGATAAGAAATGTAACCAGTTAGCTCGACGGCGTCGCAACCATTCTGGTCGATTCAGCATCTCGGGTTATGAGGAAGATTACACGGTGTACAAGACACAGCGTTACCTATGTAATACCGCAACGATCAAGCAATATTGGCAGTTCGAAGAGGAGCTAGCGGCCTCGGGCCGCAACCGCCATTATGAGAGTGTTTGCATAAACGAAACGTCATGTGAAACCTGTGGGTGATCTACCGGTCTTAGAAATGTTGAACAGTGTGTCGCTCATTACAAGCGCAAAGCGCGCGGACGCCTTGGCTCCACACTTCCTCACCGTATCTTTCAGTGAATCGGCGGCTGTTCTAGTACCGACACAGGTTACGCCAGTCTTGCTCGACAGACTACAATGTGAGGTGGAAGAAGCATATCAGCCACTCATCAACTTCAAAGGTACAAAACCCTACGGACCAGACGGACTTCACCCACTAACGCTTACTCCCTTATCTAATGTCAGCTCCACAACCGTGACAAAACTGTACAATAAACCACACTCTGAAGCATCTGTTTCCAACAACTGGAAATGCTCGTTAGTGAGATCGCTTTCCAACAGTGGTGATCCAATCTCTCTGATTTCCATATTATCCAAAGTTCTCGAGAAGCTTGTGAAAAAGTGTCAGCTATCGTTCTGAGAATCGATGGGCGTATTGACGCCGACGCAAAGCGGCTTCACGAAAAGGCGATCCAGTATAACCAACTTAATGTACGCAAACCACCAGTGGGTACGGGCTCTCAACGAACGGAAGGATGTTGAAGTGGTGTGCATCGAATTTAGTAAGGCATTTGACAGAGCAAACCAAGTGATACTGCGATAGTTACACGAGTTTATCGTGGGACGGAAATAGCGGGTACAGGTTAATGATTACCTGACAGACTGGTTCTCTTCGACCAGTGGTGCTCCTCATAGAACTATACTTGGGACAGTGTTATTTCTTATTCACATCAACGACCTCCCGCAGCAGCTGCAGTCATCAAGTGCCCTGTTTGATATCTAGTCTATTAGTGAGAACTAGGACGATTTCGTTTGCCTCCAGACATGGTCCACTGAAATACAACTCCCTGTTAGCGTGAACAATTTGAACTTCTTCAGTCATTAGACGTACACTCACTCCATGGATGGCTAGTTTCGCCACGCCAACACAGCTGTCAGAGACTTAGGAGTACTCTCGCAACATGACACGAGATCGCTAGAAAACACGGAGAAATTGCACCGTGCGGGACTTCATATTCTCTGGGTATTAAGACGCAGTTCCTCCACATGGTCTGAAAAAACCATCCCTCGCCTATTCATCTCGCTCGTCAGACCAATCCTTGAATACGGCGCCTCAACTTACTATCCGGTAACCAAGTGGAAAACTGGAAAGCTGGGGAAAACACAGCACATCGCAACTATAACGATACCCAGTCTACGAAAGCTTCCGTATGAGAAACGTGAAAGGCTTGGACACTAAAACTCTATTACCGCCGCGTACGGATTGACCTCATTATGACCCATCAAATACTAGAGCACAATCACTTGCCTACACTGCGGTTAATATTTCACATGCAAGAACTGTGTAAAACTCGAGGACACCGTTACAAACTCAGGGTCCCCTGCGTAAACTGGGTATCACATCAGAAGTTCGCTGGAATTCACCACCAGAAGAAGTAATAAAGGCCGATTATGTAATGTGTTTCAAAACACGTATAGAGGGTAGTTTCGGAAACCTGTGCGTTTGTGATACAGTGTACACACAGTGCAAAATAATACACCCTATATCCGAATAATGACACCAGTAGGAATTTCTAACCGAACAAGGACAAGTGATTAATTGACCAAACACCGAGGCTGACAATCCGCAATAAAGTACGTTTCGTTTTTCCTAATTCTACAGTGTTGCACAGAAACTTTTCTACTTGCTCTTAAATACAGTCTCAGTCTCCGTAACCCGTTTGAAAATCACAACCTTAGTAAGTGCATGTCAGTGGCAGCTGCGTAGTGGAAAAGCAGCTAACCAGATCGCTAGTTGTTGCGCTCTTGTCACCTACGCGCCGAAATTCGTATCGTCTGTTTTGACGTTCGAAGTCTGTTTGGTATTCGGTTTAAGCCGTCTGATAAAAATGCCATTGGCACTTGTAGTGGTTGAAATTACTCAACATGAGCTCGGTACTCCTTATTAGACAGAGTTTGACAAGCACGTTTTACCCTCGATGGACACAGACATTGTCCCACGATCCGTGCTGAGCAAACCAACCGGATGACGTGTGCTGCACCGGATTTGACTTAAACACTTTGTGTCGACCAGGGATAGGATGAAAACTGAGCCCCAAAGGTCGCAAATGGCTACCAACATCTGTTGACAGTAAATAAATGCATTCAAACTGATTCGATACAACCGGCTTTTGTCAAATAATCACATCACTTGCTGGATTGAGGTGGACGGCAGATTCATTTCACCGGACTGCGTCTAATGTGGATTTTCACTCTATCCTTTGAGGTTAGGTGGGTAAAGTCTGGTTAGGGCGAAAAGTAAGTGACGTTGCGTTTCTGGGGCCCTAGCTTGTTCTCTATCTGCAGTTACGCGCTCGAGAGTAAAAGATTAATCGTGCCGTAACACAGTCAGTTTCCCCAATTAGCGTAATGACAGTCATTACGTATGGCTGCGAAATATGGGACTCCTAAATTCCTATCACGTCAAATGGTGGGGAAACCCACATCCATGACAATGGAAACGCATTCTATTGCACCTCGACATGTGATGGTTGTCTACCCCAGGTCAGTTGCCATAGGCAGTTATTAGATTCTAACTTCAAAATAGCTAACCACAAATCTCTCCTCGAATGACGAAGAGTCTTGAAAGTGCACAATGATCATCTGTCCCATTTTCGCAAGTTAATGGACACCTGACTGGATGCATCTAAGGTTAGTTTTCTCATAAATAAGCAGACTAATCGGAAAGTAAACGTGGTATTCAGATGGACTGAGACGTTTCAGGGGAAAGAAATAGTGTAAGTCCACTTGTGAGCAGCCATTAAATACCACTGCTGATAGGTATCATGCATGAGTAAGCACTGAACTCATCGACAAATACTTACTGGAAACTCGAAGTTCACATGTAGTGGGAATCGTTCCATCTTTCGATGTTTGTATGTCGCGCTGATCAAATTCGACCCATTGAGTATGGTCAGTGCACGAACCAGTTCCCAGTTGGTTCTCAATGGAAATTCTTGACCCGTCAGATTGATCCAATATTTCCATCGAGGACATCGATCCAATAGTATGCGGCTGCACAGCAGATCTGCTTCAAGTGTGGACATATGACCCCATTTAACCATAACACTCTTTTCTCGTGGGACCACATACACGGCACCGCCGTACTGTTGTTGCATTAGGCTAACGAGAGTGGCATACATGCGCTCGTTGCTCTTCCTATCCACGTGGATGCAATAACAATTATGTGGTCTGTAAATAGTCTGCATTAGTCGCACAGTCCGCTCAAGATGTTTGTACATTGAGATGCTGAAAGCCAGTGGGAACTGCTCCTCCTCGGTATGCACGACCGGAATTGCTAAATAGTGAATTACAGTCCCCGATAGTGCCTGAGGTACTACGATAAGCCAAATGAATACAGCCGAAATGAAACACACTGCATAGAAGATCCACGGACTTCTCCTCAGGAAGGTTGTTACTCTGAGGTAAACGGAGTACAAATGAGGATTGCTCGAATATGGCGCCATCATAGTTCGGCAGAACAACCCTAGATGGTGCAACTCATGTCTGCTACCTGACTACATATACGTGTGTGTCTGCCTCCGGGCCCGTAAGGCTTCACACACAGGCCTTCGTTGGTATTCACTTGCGAGCTCCGAGCTAAACGCCATGGATCAGCTGTTGTGTGCTGTTCTAAACACTACTTCGCTAGCAGTCAAACGACTAGATCATATGAACACCAAGGAATACTGCCATCTGAGCGATTACGTTGGTATTGATTAGTTGAAACCCATCTCACAACTAAGTTGACAACATTTGTAATGACAGGTTATTTTCAACCATCCACGTTTCATCATGTGGTCTGAGCAATTAAGAAACGAGCGTAATGCTTCCTCCGGTGTATTTCTTCCGTGACAATTAAATTATAAGTACACGTTTGTGAGTCCAGCTCTATCAATTAGGTACGGGATGTATCATGTGTAAGCTACTTCATTTGCCCAGAAGCAGAACTCAGCAGTGTACCGGTATGCCATTCAGACACCTCGCTGCCACTCGACCAACACCATTTGCACGTGCGGGCTGGAGATACTGCGAAAGCACTCGCATACATTACACGTCGAACGCGTGGAGTTTCCAAGCTGTTTTCGGCCAGCACTGCACTCCCCGTCCGGTTTCGTCCTGTTAGACTCGTCAGGTGGGAGACAACCTGAGCTGAACGCGGACTTCGGCACAGAGTGGTTGACGCCTATTCCTTGTTTATTAAGGCAAACTACGACATGAAGCGCCTAACGCAGCGGTTGGTAGTGTATCGTTGGGTAACCATAGAATCAACACAGAACAAGACAGACTCCACCTTTTATTCGGCCACTGGCCCCGCATTGTCCCCAAGCGTAAGACTGGTATGGGCACCCATGTGGACGGAAGCGTCTACGAAGCTGCCGAACATTTGGCCTTGGGCTGTGTCGTCAATGTTGGTTTCTTCTATTTGCAGACCAACGTAGCCCGACAAATACCTAACCTAACAGTCCTAGCTCAGTCAACAGTTAATTGGGTCAGAGTATGAACAACAAAGCGTTGTGTCAACCTGAGTGGTACCTGCTGGAAAACTCATTGTCCAGACTACAATCTTTAATACCCCTTTAAGCATCGTCGTCGGCCCTCATGGCCGTACAATCTGATATGTATCGCTGCATCAAATTGCCAATAGTGGTGATGGTCCATGACATTGCAGAGAGAAAACCAATTGCGGTGGTGCCTGCAACCAACGGTTTCTCTTCCCTCAAAAGCTGACTTTATGAAATCTGAGATGACCGCTGTGGAAGCTCTGACTGCAGCATTGTTGCAAGGCTTGGAATCGAATTAAGTAACAGTTAACTACTTGCCCACATCCAACCCAATATTGTAATGTGTTTGAAAAAGCACTAAAATGAAGTACCACTTTTCGGTTGTGGGATTCTCCGAAAACCAATGACATTCACTTTTCGTTCTCACCAGAACAAAGTTAATGCTTTGGACTCATCAGTAACCCATACTCCGCGGTGAATCGTTCAGGATTTAAACGTCAGGATATGCACTTTATAGTCGAATTCTGATGCTACCTGACCAGGTGTGACTCGGGTTGCAACCTATGTGGATAGCCCAATCAATGCAGCATGTCGCGCCTACCCTTCATTGTCAAGAACTCCATTGTCGCGTGAACCCATCACTAGACAAATAAATAGATTTGTATGGTTACCGACAGGCCTGTAAGTGAGAGCCATCGTTCTGCATCTGGTTCCCGCTAAATGCCAAATTAGCGCTACCTGCCCGCTGGATGCATTCCAAGAAGCTCAGTACAGAAAAATGAAACTTTTCGTAGAAGTACGCACTGATAGCAACTGAATTCATTGCCACCAGGCAGACAGTACATGCAAGGCTCATCCTACCATTACCCTAGTAAAGTCAACTGACTTCATATCTACCAGGCAATGTTGACAACTTTATCCTGATATTTGGTATCTTACCATTCCCAAATCTATGGCTTGCTGTTGACAGTCACTTGGACTTCAGTAGTATACCGAGAGTAGCCGTTCAAGTGTCTCGCATATCTGCTTTCATGGTTTGTCGCTGGTAAGAATGCGACAACGCGGATCTGACTGCTACACCATGGCGTTGCAGAGATTGACCCGCATAAATGAAAGCCGATTAGATGACCTCATCGCAATCGATGGGAAAGCTTCTGATTTAGCTGCTATGAACCACTGGAAACCTTATCCCCTTTTGCGCTGTTATTCATCGCCCAGATAACTAGCGGTATAAGGGATCGCTTATCTGTGTATGTGTGAGAATCCACCCGGAGTTAACCACAAGCGTGGATCACTTGTGAGTCGTGCGATACCGCCGTTGAGCGAGTGCAGATGCTTTTCAAGACATGTGAAGAAACCCACAACTATTCAGGTGAAATAGTTCCTACTTGTGGCTACATCAAAACATACCCGCCTTAACAGATTCTAAATGCCATGTCGCACATAGCTGCTGTTAGTGGAAATCGTGTCTCTCGGGACCAACCCTACCTCCTGCAACTTCCGCAACTTACATGGTAGCGGAGAATGCGACGCCCTATCGTAATTAGCTTGTGCATTCTGACTATCCGCGGTTGTCACCTATGGTTCCGTGGCATAAGATGCTGGCTTGTAGTGTAGGCCGCTAGTGTTCATGCGTAAGTATCTTGATGGATCCGATGGATGCACACAACTGACGAGACCGAACAGGTCGAACTGGACGTCTAGCGCTTTTCCGTACGTGTGGTATCTCTCGCGAAGAAACCAGCAACGATTTGCAACAAACTTCCGTTACTCATGAGTGTAAGTGAATAAGCACTCAGATGGCATTCAGTTTAGTCACACAATCTTGGGCTTGTCATGTTGACGTTCTCACTGACTAAACTCTACCCTCGTCCGGCGCCTAGGTATGCACTAACGCCACACTTTCAGTTGCGCAGTAAAACGTCGTATTGTATGATCGTTTGAAGGAGAGCTAATTTGCATGTTTAATACACCAGCTGTCATGCCTCTCCTCGTCCAACATGGCTGGCTCTGTCTGATACGCTCTATGTAACTATTCCCACATCGTGTTTATTGCTGTTTGCTTGCTTTAGCAGGTTAGGTTCGCGACGTTGGCAGATGCACCGAGTTCCTATCACCACAGCAATACTAATAATGACAAATGCCAAGCATATGCACAATTAGCTAAGGAGGCTTTAATTGCAGAGTAAATTACGGCTAAAACAGACTTCGAACCAGAGGCTAAAGTCTTTAAGTTTTCCAGGTCAAAATGATGACCGGCTTCTTCCTCGTGTATCGAAACCGACGAATAAGTCATGTCACTTTATTGCCTTCTTAAGGGCATGGGACCCGGATAGAAAGCATTCTTGCCGTTTGTCTGATGTAGTGTTTATCACATTCCTCTTGTTGAATAGCGTCTGGATACAGCTCTTTCTGTGGCTCATCAGGTGGTTACTGTGGTTGTACAATATTTGATTCGTATATGTCTTCTTCAGTCAGTGTTTCTGGCAACTAAAGCATCCAGAAATGGCCATTTTTCATCTTGTTTTAATTCATTGGTGAACTTGATGTCCTCAGATCTATTGTTGATCAAATCGTGTGTACGCTGTGCCGAATTGCGTTTTATTATGCTAATGTATCGTCAACGCATAGGATTCAAAGTTTTGGACTGATCAGTTGTATGGTAATGCGTACCAATTTCGCCATTACGGTCTCCGTAATAAGCGCTAATATGAGTGGACCCACGGGTGTGGCTTCCAGTTGTCGAGATAGTTATCCATTAAGAAAGAAATAAGTAGCAAACAGTCCAACAATCCCCACACACATTCCGGTTTCATGTTACTTGTCATGCTCGGTTGCTTACGGTGATTACATCATAGTCTCCATGGCAAGTTCGTGGCTGATCGATGTGAAGAGATCAGCAATAGCGAATGACAGCATAATTTCATCGCTCTGATTATTGATACTTCGCAGTAACTACTTCAAGATTGATGCGCTTACTACGACCAGCATGCAAGTCGTGGTGAGGACGTTGCGGGGCCAATTCGCTCTGCATGGAACACCCGAGGTGCCGATTTCCAACAATGGACCACAATTTAGTAGAGCAGAGTTGCGCGCCTTTAGCAAGAAACGCTTTTCGCCACCAGCTCACCAGCTCATAGTATAGCCAGTCAAACGGAAAGGCTGAATTGACAGTGGAATAAGCAAGGAATGTGCTCGCCGATATTAAGGACTCCACAAAGACCCCTACATAATGCTACTAGAGCGAAGAAACACGCCATCTATCGAACTCCGAGCAATTCCGGTACAAGGACTATATAGTCGCAGGACAAGAGCTTTATCCTATCATGTTACATGGTCGGAAATTCACCTTATGCACTGGTCACATACCCCTGCTGTCTATGTTTAGTATGTAAAAAGGAATTCCTGTACACACCGCAAATCACTTGCAATGTCCGGCGACGCTACTTCACGGATACCATGTTACCATTCAACGCATCTGTTTCAAATGTGTTGATCATGTTGTCCCCTATGCGCTTCTTATTGCTAACCAATCAAATACGCAGCAACATGAAGACACAGTCATTTCCTCAGTCGAAGTTGATTTGGCAGCGTCCGTATCCGGATTTGCCTGT